GTTGGTTGAAGTGCTCTGTAGATGTGTATAAGGCCAAGTTGGTGGATTGTATTGTTTAGCTCTTCTGCATCTTTGGTGAGTTTCTTTCCATTTTTTGTATCTTTCAAAGAAAGTGGTGTATTAAAGTCTTACACTATGACTGTGGAGTCATCTATTTGGCTTTTCCACTCTTTTAACATCTGATTTATGTATTTTGGGGCTCCTTCATTGGGTCCATAAATATTTATTATGGTTATATCTTCATGATCAACTGATCTTTTAATCATTATCTCTTTGCTGGTGTCCTTCCTTGTCTCGTATGGTGGGTTTTGTCTTAAAGGCAATTTGATCAGAAATTAATATTGCCACTCCTGCTCTCTTACAGTTGCCATTGGCTTTATATGTCTTTTTCCAACCTTTGATTTTTAATCTGTTATTTTCTTTATCTTTAAGTTGTGTCTCTTGTAGGCAGCATATTGATGGCTTTGTTTTCTTATCCAATCTGCAACTCTCCATCTCTTGAGTGGTGCATTTAATCCATTAACATTCAGGGTAATTATTAACAGGTATGAATTTGTTACTGTCATTTTGGTATGTGTTTTTTCATGCTGTCCCTTGTTTCTTTACTCCATATTATTTTCTGTGCTGAGCTCATTATGTTTATGAATCATGTTATCATTTCCTTTGTTGCTGTTGTATTAGCATATGCTGAATATTTATGCTTGTCCTCTTTTTCATTGTGATATGAAGGTTTATCATTTTTCTTTGAGGTTACCCTATGATTTATAAATTTATCCCTGAGTTTAGAACAGTCCTTTGTATTTTGCAACAGTCTTAACTTCCTCAGCATTTAGAAGTTCTGTAAATACACAGTCTTTTCCCTCTTTTTGTTTGTAGTTGTCCTCACTTCCCAATTGGTGTCTCTGGTTCCCTTTTTACAATCTTGTAAGCTCATTTTACTTTGGATATGTACATAGCCGTGACGTCTGCGTTATATCATCTTTCGTATTATTGGACGGTTGTTATTTGCTATTTTTGGTTCTCTGTTCAAAGAACTCCCTTTAGCAGCTCTTGTAAGGCTCATCTGGTTTTAACAAATTCCCTTAGTTTCTGCTTATCTGGATATCTCCTGATTTCACCATCATATTTGAGGAACAGTTTTGCTGGGTATATCATTCTTGGTTGAAAATTTTTATCTTCCAGAGTTTTATATATACTATCCCATTGCCTTCTCGCTTGCATGGTTCTGCTGAGAAATCAGAGCTTATTCTTACTGGCTGTCCTTTGTAGGTAACTTCCTGTTTTTCCTGTGCTGCTTTCAGGACTCTGTCTTTGTCTTTGGTTTTGATGAGTTTGATGATGATGTGTCTTGGTGGTTTTCTTTTGTGGTCTCTCCTATTTGGGGTTCGTTGAACTTCCTGAATGGATATATCCTCATCTTTTAGCATATTAGCTAAGTTTTTCTCGAAGAAATCTTGGACAGTTTTCTCAGTGGTTTTGTTTTTGTCTTCCTGTTCTGGAATTCCAATGACACTTAAGTTATTCCTTTTGATGGTATTTATCATTGAACCTTAGGCTTTCTTCATTTTGTTTTTATCTTTTTTCTCATTGATCCCTTTCCAAAGATGTATTCAGATATTTGTCTTCAATCTCATTAATTTTGTCTTCCATTGCATCAATTTTACTCCTTTGCCCTTCCAATGTGTTATCTGTTTCTGACAATTTAGTATTAATCTTCTGGATGTCTATCTGTAGATGTAGAATCATTTCTAATTTTTCAGTTATTTTGTCATTTTGTTCTTTTATTTTCTTCCAAAGTTCTTCTAAGGTTTTTTCTGTGTTTTCTTTGGTCTGTCTGTCAGTCCTTTGAAGATACCTAAAGATAATTCTTTTGAATTCCTTTTCAGAGAGTTCCAATGCTGCTTCTTCCTCAGGGATGTGTGCTGGGTCTGTATCCTGCTCCCTTGTTTCTACCACCTTATCCTGCTTCTTTATGTGGACTGTGATGGTCTGTTATTTCTGAGGCACCATGGCGTTGTTGTATTTAGATCTCTGTGAACTGTTTGTGAAGAGAATCCAAGGGTGATTCAGGCTCTTCTTGGTGGTTTTTTATCATTGGCCCGTTGTTGGAGAAGGAGGAAGTGGCTCTCTCTCAGTAAGTGAAGTCGCAGGAGGTGTGGGTGTAGTTGTGTCTTATGGGGACTGTTGTTGTCTCCCACTCAGTTAGACACAAATTACAATTGAATAACCATCC